TCTCACTCTCCAGTAAGGACATGCTCCCTATAGCAAAATTACAAAATAAATACAAAGTAAAAAGAAGGCTGGCAGTTTGAAGAATTGTTCTGAGATATCTCATTAAACAGATTTAAAAACACATACACACTTACATCAAAGATGTACTAGATGGTGTATATATTAACTGCCCTGCTTCTGCCAGCTCGATGGCATGTTTTCTCTCAAGCTTTTCATAAAGAAGTACAATGCTTGATTTGGGCTGATCATATTCTCTGAGCAAGATTTTCTGCAGATATCTACTGTTGAAATACTCCAATCTATTCGGGAAGAAAATAAAATAGAAATTCCATAAATTAACTGACATTTTCTTCTGGACTTTTACACTCTGGTCAGAAGGTCCAAGACCTGGTTCACCCATGGCCTAGTTCAAATTTACTTCATTTTAATGAAAATGTTCATCTATGGCAGATGGAAGAAATAAAAAAACTCAGTAAAAATTCTAGTTGCATTAAGTATTCTAATTTAAATTTAAGTAAAAAGAAATTAAAGCTTTCAGTGTATCCTAATAGAGTCAACCAGGTCAAGGGAAAGCAGACAAATGCATCCTTTTCACCAAAGACAGAAATACTAGCCAAGCAGGGTCTACATTTTTTTTAAATACCAGAAAAGAATAGGGAACTTAATACAGTTTATTTTCAAAGGATGAGGAAAAGAATGGGATATCTTTGTTAAAGGTTTAATAAACTTGAATTTAAACTTACACAACATATTCACAAGATGAAAGAAAAACTATGTCATAGCTTCACAATACCTGAGTGAAAATGTTCAATTAAATATAGATATATAGTCAATAAATTCCTATTAAAAAAAAAAAACAACTATAGGGTCAGCCAATGGCATGGTGACTGGATGCCAACTGCACAGTTTGAATTCTAGAGACAGTGCCTTAAAAATACGCTTGGCACTGGTGCATGTATGTTCATGCCCAAAATCCTGACATGAGGGAGAAGTGGAGGAGAATGGATTGCTCTGTGACCATGCCCTACAGTGGGGAGGATTTCTCACATTATCTCTCTGTCTCTCTCTGGCTATTGCACACTAGTGGCAAAAATTTAAAAACAAGCAAAAACGAAACTGTCCTTAACCTCAACAACTTTATTGAGGTCTACTTCTTTTTCAATATTTGCATATTAAAGTTACATTCTGATGCTCAAGGGGTCTTGAGGCCTCCTTGACTCAAGGCTTAAGCTGCCAACCTGAAATGTGCTTAGAAAGCCAATAGGTGGCAGCATGAGACTCAGCAAAAAGAAAAAGAAAAGAAAAAAAAAAAGCAACCAATAAAAAACTAGAAATGTCACAAGAGTTACTTTTACCTATAAGCATTAAATAGGGTCAAAAACGTATAAGGCTTGGTAAAGATGCCTTTGTAAGGTACCTTGACAATCTTACTGATATAGAAAGAAAGCAAGAGTAGAAAGAAGGAAAGAAAATGACTTAAATTTATGACACGAAGTTTGCTTTGCAAAGGCTGTGTATCTCCTCCAGAGACAAAAATCTCACTAAATAAAACCACATTTATTTTTTTTGAGAGGTTTTTGCTATAGGGCACGTGCGCTCGCCAGACAGACAGAGAGAGAGAGACAGAAAGCGAGAAATCACCCCCCAGGTGGAGCACACCGCAATCCCTTCTCCTCCATTCTCCTCTCGGGATCTTGGGCACGCACGCACACGCACCCAGCATGAGTTTAAGACACTGGGTCTGGGACTCGAACTGCGGTCAACTACGTGGGAGTCCAGCGACATAGCCATTACACTAACTGCTGGTCCCTAAAACCACATTTATTATATTCAAATAAAAAGCTAACTAATTAATTCAAACTTTTTAAAAATTTATTTTATTTACATTCATTTACTATACATCATTATAGCATACAAAATGAGATTTTCTATCCAGAATACACTGTATATTGTCTCAATCAAGCACATCAATATAAGTGTTATCATCATTTTCCATTTCTTGTTTTGTGTATATTTTGCTTTTTTTCCCATCCTTGATTCCCTATCTCTCAACCTCTACCATCTCCCACCCTCCTCCCACACTGTCTCTGGTATTAATGGTTGCTTTCTATGCCTTCCCCCCGCCATGCACATTTTATTGATTCACTAAAGATCTTAATCAATCTAAATATTTTCAACAGCAAGCACAGCTGATATATACATATCCATGACACAAGTCTGACTTTAGGCATAAACCTCAGTGAGTAGAATGAACATACTATAAAGTAGCACCTAGCTGGGGCTATATTATCATAAAAATATTTTTTATTATTTTGCCATTTTACTTATCAGGAAAAACAAGGCAATTATTGCTAACACTCCCATTAATGGTTTATAGCCTTGCCCATGATCATAAAGAAGCCTCTAAATCAAGCATGGGGAAAAGATCTATTTTTGTTAGATCATTTGCAGATAAAAATGGAGTAAATGAAATCTGTTACCATTTATCAGAATTTAAAATAAATTTGCTTTTGGAGAGACCACTATCACAAAATATCTTGGTCTTCGGACCTTAACTTCACTTTAGAAGATACCCTTCCTGGAAAGTGACAGAAAAGTTGCTTAAAAATAATAAAGCCAAGCACTTGTGCCAAGTGTTTAGTGGTAAAATCAGATCTGGTATTTTTTTTTTTTTTGAGAGAGGTTTTTGCTATAGGTCGCGTGTACTCGCCAGACAGACAGAGAGAGACAGAGAGATAGAAAGCGAGAAATCACCCCCCAGAGGGGATGGTCACGCCACAATCCCTTCTCCTCCATTCCCTTCTCTGGATCTTGGGCACGTACGCACACATGCCTAGCGTGAGTTTAAGCCACCGGGTCCGGGAATCGAACCGTGGACAACTACGTGGGAGTCTGGGAGTCTAGCGACATAGCCATTACGCTAACTGCTGGTCCCAGATCTGGTATTTTATACAGTTCCTTGTTAGGAATCTAGACCAAAGCTGTAAATTTTTATGTGTAGGTATCAAGGCACTTAGGATTAATCATAAAATAAAATTCAAACATTTGAATTGAAATATAGGACTAGATTTAGTATTATCATAAAAAAAATGCTCGTTTAAAAATTGTCACTTATTTATTCACTCAAACATATTTATTGGATACTTATTATATGGAAGAAACTCTTAAATGTTGCAATTATAGACATTAACAAGACAGTTTAGCTCTCTACCCTTATTCAGTTTAAGTTGGAGAAAAACATACAGTAAACATAAAAATTTATTATAAATTGCACTTTTAAAATAAAAATTTGAAAATATTGTTTAATAAATAAGATAAAATTTTAAAATGTCAGAAAGTTATTTTATTCAGAAAATTACAGTGCACTTATATAATAAGGAAATTTTAACTAATTTTTAAACAAGAAAATACTAGAAATTCAAGGATCAGGTAGGAGAGCAGTCTACGCAGATGGAACATTATGTAAAAGCTTTAAGGTAGATATGTGCTGAATTTAATGAATTTCTGCTCAAGAAACAGAAGGATAATATACTTGGGGTAAATGGAATCCAGTGAGAACAGTATAAGATGGGTTAAGAAAGCTTACCAGGGCTTTATAACCAAACATAAAAAGGTTTTGTTTTGTTTTGTTTTGTTTTTAAGTGCTAAGATACTAAAAGCTTTCATTACAATAATAATATGATATGGTATAATAATAGTTTCTCTGGAATTGTGTATCATATTTCTAAGAGAAGGATTGATCCAAGAATTTTATGGAACACTGTTTACTTTTACAGTTTAGATTTGGTATCAGTCATGTCTCTCATGGCAAGGAAAACATGGAAAGATCTCTGTCTTTGTTTTAAGTGTCTTCTTTTTTTTATGACATGCAGATAAATAAAGCTCAACTATCCCCAACAGAAACAAATGGAAAGAAAAGCCCATTTATTTGTTTCTTCTTTTCTACATATAAACACATGTATACTTTTGTCAAATCCTCACTTGTCTTTCCAGTAATATTGTCCCCAGTGTCCTGATATATCTTCTATGCCAGCCAGCAAATGATCAAAGAACTGAAACAGAATAAAACATGTTTCTAAATACGTAACATGTATGAGGAAGTTAGTCAAGCTACTATCAAATAAAAGAATCCATCAAAATTATGCTTGAAATTGTTGATTTCATCTGAATTGTTTATTTTATAACCCTGAAGCATCCACATTTGTATTTTGGCATGTTTTCAGTATCTCTAGCACAAGCCTTATAAATGCTTTATTTGTGGAGCCAGCTGGTGAATTGATGGTTAAGGCAGCTGGATTCCACATGGCAGACTTCAAGGTTCAAGTCCACGACCCAGTACCTTGACAATCTTACTGAGCGCATGTGAGTGAGGCCCAAAATCCCAAGAGGAAAATGGAAGAGAAGGGAATGCGATGTGGTCATCCCCCTGAGGGGTGAATTCTCACTTTCCTATTCTTTCACTCTCTCTCTCTCTGTCTGTCTCTCTCTAGTGAGTGCAAAAGCTCTGTAGCAAAAACTGAAAAAAATGCTTTATTTGAAACTGAATATGGATATATCATTCAGTAGCATATGATGGACTCATTCATCTACCAAAAATATAGGCTCGATACCATTGAGGAAACAAAAGGAGTAAAAGTCATGGCCTGTGTCCTTGAAGGAGTTAAAATCAAATTACAAAAGCAAAATATAAAGAAATGGATAGAAATCAAGTTCAAACTTGGCATACGTATATTTATATATGCAACAAAACATGACAAATTTAAGAAAGAAGTAGGAAAAGCAGAGTTAAAGAGGTTTAATGAAAATATGTATTTTGAGACTGATCCTGATGTGGGTTTATGTGTGGAAAAATAAGTCATTACATGTAATGTGAACAGCATGAGTGAAATGTGTGAGAAAAAATAAGGAACTTTATAAAAAATACTATGAAAAAGAAGGCTGCATAAATATGGGCCAGGGGTATGAAGAAGGAAGCAGTTGGCAAATGGACTTGAATATTAATATTAAAAGTTTAATCTCATATGACATCACCAAAAACGCATAACCTAACATTATGAGGAAATGATCAGTAAGTACAACTTGAGTGATATTCTACAAAACAACATGCATGTATTCCTCGAAAATGCCAGTGTTGTTTTGAAAGACAATAAAAAGGTGAAAAACAATTTTGTATTAAAGGCAATATTAAACATATAACAACTATAATAGATGGAATGGATGATCCTGAATCAGGAGAAAAAATATTATAAAACCACTACTGGGAAATTTAGCACAATTTTAATATAGAATTATAATAGATAATACAATCAATTTTAACCTTTCTGAATTTGGTAGGTTGTGATCAACTACTAGAATGTATTTTTTCTTAGGAAATCCTAATATACACTGAAGAAGGGGTGCATGGTCAGCCAATCTGCAACTTAGTATCAAATGATTCAACAAGTGACAGTAATAATATGCACATATACAGAAAGAAAATGATAAAGTGAATGTAGCAAAGTCAGCAATTAATGAATCCACAGAATGGGTATGTAGGTCTTCATTGAACTGTCTGAAATTCTGTAGGTTTGACATTATCTAAAATAAAAAGTTGGACAAAAGAAAATATAGTTTGACTTGGTACTATAAATTCATTCAATTATATCTTATATCTTATTAATTTACTATATAATAGAGTATATATTATGCAGTCATTAAAATCACTCTCATATGGTAGAAATAGGAGAGTAAATTCTCCCAAACTAATATAAAAATGTCATTCGATTACAATAAAAAAAAAATTTCTTTTAACAACTTAAAACAATCAAGTATTGGAATTTGAAAAACAAAATGTACAGAGTGGAGTTAGTTATGTGTACACATTCTTAGTTATGTAATTATTAATGAAATTGACATGTTTTACTAGAAGAAAATCAGTATAGTGTTGAAAATGTGTCCCAGAACATTATGGGCTATATAATGTTAATGTCATAAACCAAGTAGTCACTGAATCCTCTTCTCTTTGCTTAATTCCAACTTTTTTTCAATATTAATAAATCTAAGTGCATCTTAAAATCACTCTTAGTATTCTCTATATTTCAATTTTTGTATTCTGTAATACCCCACTTGTTATAATCAACATTTCAAATTCTATTTCTATAAAAAGGCAAAAGCAACTGTTATAAATATTATGCCTTTAAATTTCTGACCCTCTCCTTACTCCTAATGTAGAAATGAGGCATTTTGCTTTCAGCCCTTGGTACACTTGAAACTCTATTTCAAAGAGTATATTTTGTAATATTATTATGAAAAATCTTTAACTTCCTTGATCCTTAGTGGTTTTTGTTTTGTTTTGTTTGTGTTTTTTCTTTTTTTAAAAAAAAAAAAAAAAACTCCACAAAAACCAAAAATATATCAAGGAAAAAAAATTGCCAATTACATATAACCTATACAAGTCAGCTTATAAACAATTTACTTACTATATCAAATAGAAAATAAACTAAGTTACTGAAATACTTCAGCCTAGTATTAAGAATTAGTATGATTTTTTAAAAAAACTACTATGGTCAAGAAACCAAAAACGCTCAGAATAACAATTTGAAGTAAAAACACTCATAATTCATGATTATTCGAGCTGGCTAGACCCTTGAAGATTATGTAAAACATATTTTTAATTTACTAATTAAAAAAGCAAAGCTACAAAGAAGTTAAAAGACTTTTCCAAGATAATATTAAAAGTTAGTAATAGGTAATATGGATTCTCTGTGTTCTTACTTGCTCATGTGAAGAACTGTTTTCTTGATTTTTAAAATTACAGATGGGCACAAAATCGAGCTGGCTAGACCCTTGAAGATTATGTAAAACATATTTTTAATTTACTAATTAAAAAAGCAAAGCTACAAAGAAGTTAAAAGACTTTTCCAAGATAATATTAAAAGTTAGTAATAGGTAATATGGATTCTCTGTGTTCTTACTTGCTCATGTGAAGAACTGTTTTCTTGATTTTTAAAATTACAGATGGGCACAAAATAACAAAGAATTGTTCATAATTCAGAAAATTATGTCTCCTTTTATTAGGATAAAATTCCAAATATAAAAAGATCTAACTTGTAAGAGTTAATTCCAGTCAATGGATCACTTAGATGATATATAGACAGCTTACCCTTAAAAGAATTTGTTCACTCACTGTTGGAGAAGTCTCTCTTCTTCTTGTCACATCCAGTAAGTCAACAAGAGGACGGATGGTCATTCCCTATAGAATAACAAAGCAAAAACCCACACTCTTT